AAGAAGAAGAAGAAGAAGAAGAAGAAGAAGAAGAAGAAGAAGAAGAAGAAGAAGAAGAAGAAGAAGAAGAAGAAGAAGAAGGAGTTTCCACCTTAAGATAGTGATGCATGTGGTTTATCTGAGCACTGAGAGAGAAAAGTCTGCTACTCCTCCAAATCTCTATCTCATTAATTATAAGGAGATTTTCTCTACAAAGGACTCAGACAAATAAATATGTACACTTATTATTCTTCAAGTGGTAAAAATGGAAAGGTCTTAAAAGGGACTTCAATTAGGAGGTTTGTGAGGATGTGGGGTGCTAAGGTTCATACGTTACTAGGACGTGTTGAAATCCATGCTTCTCAGGTTTGGGATGGTGATCATGCATATGCGTGTGTGATAAAAGCCCAAGTTTTCATCCCCTCTCAGCTGCTTATCTCTCATTGCCTCAGAGAGCTGATCGTAACCTGAATTTTTTTGGTGCAAATTAAGTTTCAATCAGTCAGTGATTTGTGATGATCCTGTCCAACTATGTGCTAAATGTCTGAAATTAACACCTCATATTCCTAGCATAATAACTTCTTATTGCTCTTTAGTATGAGAATTCATTTCAGCAATTATTATTGTTCTTAATACATTGTAATATTTAGAAGATCTACAGAATCATGGCCTTCCTAATTCTGGATCATGTCTCATTCAGTGGATGAAGAGTAGATTATAACACAAAGTAGACAAAGTGAAAATAATGGTTTTGAATGAGAACACAAGATACAAGATGCAAAGTAGACTGCCAGAATATAAAGGACTATATATGCCCTAAGAAGAAAAACTTTTACTTGAAGATTAAAAAGGCAAGAGAGACTCCATATTCTTTTTGTAAATCCATTTTAGAAAGAAGTCACTTAAATTAACTTAAAGTGTACATGAACTCAAGCTCTCAACCTATCACATGGAGCTGAGAATAAATCAACTAAGAATAAAGATCATAAAAATAAAAAACTATCAGAACAACTTTGAAAGTAGGATAAACATTAAACCACAACATCCTATGATTGGAATGTGGCCAATAGTATCTGGGAAATGCAAACCTTATGACAAATTTGTATCATTCTTATAAAGTTCCTAAAAATGAGGCAATGTGGTAATGTGGTTGCTATAAAAATCTGAAAAGTATATAATGTGGACATATATGCCAAACCAGGGTGTATATTCTCTCTGGCTTCTTGTCAGAATGTTGGTCATCAACTTCAGTAAAGCTTTTTTGCTTCTGAGAGAAAAAAAGAATTTCTAAGAATATTCAGATGAAATGTGTAACTTTGGGGCACCCTTGGAATGTTCTCTAACTATAATCTCTGCATTAGATAAGATGAAAGACCTAATTCAACGCATAAAGTTCTCTTCCACCTTCTCTTTGTCTTCTTTCAGAACCTCCAGAGCAACACGCTGGTGCCACAAGAAGTTGTTACGATGATGTTGAAGAAGTACTTGTTCCTGAAATTCCTTCTTCCTTTGGAAGGAGTGAGAAGAAATTTGTTGCTGAAGAAATAGATGGTGCCAGGTACTTCCAGACAGATGGGTGTGCAGTTCTTTCTTCAATCCAGCTGCATTCATGGGAAAGATTTGTTTGGACCCATCACTCATGTGTATTCCTTTGCTATAAGAATTGAGGTAGCCTTGTGTGCTTAGGTGATGTCTGCTCCTCTCTATCCTTGATGGTAGCTACTATATCCTTGCTTAGAGAAAAAAAAATTATATCTCTGTGTAATACACACCATATGTTGCATGTAGACGTGTTGTATTGCAATTACAAGCAGAAATCCTGAAATGACACTCAAGATTTGGAGGCAGATTTATCTCATGACAACCTAAATATCATTGTCCAAGTATAAGACTCTAAATGCTCAGGGAGGGAGGTTTTATAGGATAGCAAGCAAGAAGCAGAATACATGGCTGTCTTTGATTGTTCTGACAGTGTGCATAATAGTAGGAAGCTATGAATCACAGTGACCAACCTTCTAAGAGAGAAGAAACCAGAACTGCAACAGAAAGTATCAGCTGGGCAAATGAAATATTCTGACTGGGGTAGGGGGATTTACTACTACAGTATGAGTTGTAGAAGCCTTCAGTTTTATAGACCTGGAATGTAGCTTGGTGGCACAAGAACTGGCCTGGCAAGTGCAAGGTCCTGTGTTCATTTCCCAGTACCCCCCAAAAGAATACAAACAAAAAAACACTTTGAGTTTTGCTCTCATTTTCATATTTCATGGATATATA